TAACAACTTCCTCACTTCGTTAATTTTCATTTCATTTTCATTTCAACCTTTGGAAGTAAAGTCTAATGATCCAGAGCCCTTTTAAAAGGGCTGTGGTGAAATAATTTATTACATGGAACCTTAAAGTGTGTTTTTTATTCAAACATATTTGCTCTGAATTTACTTTGAGCTCTCCGGATATCATCCTCCTTGGGTCTACCCATATGGATTACCTAGTTTTTGCATATATATATATATATATATATATATATATATATATATATATATATATATATATATATATATATATATTAAATGTGTGTATTTAGGCAGCACATTCTCTTTTAAGTATGTCTGATTGAATAAATTACAGACACATTTCTGACTGAATAAATTACAGACATTATGTCTGCTAATTTTTAACAAAATCCGTTCATACTCACAAATAACCTTCCGTGTGTTTATGTTAAAGGATGCGAGAAATGTGTTGTGGTAAATGTCTTTCAATTTTAATTTCCCATGTACCTTCGATCTTCTTCCCAGATCATCTTCAGTGGTGTAAGTAGTACAAAACTATATGTTTTTCATTACGTAATGGATAACAACGCACTGCTTTGTATAATTACTTGTACTAATGTACTACTTACATCCCTGAAGATGACCTTGGACCAAATACCTCAAGTCAGGGGAGAAGAAACTGACACAAGTCGCCAGGGAAAGACGGGCTCGTAGAAAGCAAACTGACAGCCCCAACAGACTAGAGACAGAACACACATGTGACCTCTGTAAACGAGATTCTCGCTCCCGCATAGGCCTCTACAGTCACAAATATCGATGCTCCAGCAGAGCAGACAACTAGGATGCTATCCATATTATTTTATAATAAATATAAATAAATTTATATTTACTATAAAAAATGCAGTCTGAAGTTATTAGACAGACTAAACTAATATTAATTTAAACCCACTAAAATATAATAAAAGCTATGTTTTGGTTTTTTCCCCATAATATATGTTGTAATATGGATAATGGAAAAGATCTAACAAATGCTGAAAGCCATGATATAAGTACGGTGGAGTAATGGATAGCGGCTCGGATTGAAGAATTGGAGAGAGCCGAGTTCGAATTCCAATCGAATTCATTACATTCTCTTACGTGCTATTACCCTCGAGAAAGGTATTAATCTTTTACTTCCCTATGGGTAAATAGCAGGAGGGACCGGGTTATATAGCTTTGGATGGCAACTGGTCTACTGAAGAAAGAGATGGCAACTTACTCCGGGAAAAAAAAAACCTATCTCGTCAGTCATATATTGAAAGATACATGATTCCCTAAGCGTGTATCACGTACGGCACATAACTGACTGATTGAGTTCGGAAATGTTCGTTTTAGAGATATATAAAACGCGCTTTGCAGAGATCATCTAGCAATAAAGGGGGCTGTTGAAAATGTAACTGAGTTGAGAACTAGAAACAAAAGAAGATATTTTAAAGCTTTTTCTTCTCGATGGAATATAAATGTGTTGTGGTAGGATCCACCTAATTTGCACAGTGGAGTTTCCGACCATATAAATATGCTTGGTACCGGGAAGAGAGTAGGAGGAATCAAGAGATTCAATCCAGAGACTCTGCCCGACTGCGACTAAGTCAACCCATTCTCCAGGAACGGTCTTCCCAAGAATATACAAAAGACTATATGTAAATATTGTGTACACTTTCTTGTTTCAATACATTTTGTTCTAAGTACATTTTGTGTTGCATTATTATTCCGTGCCTTAGTCAAGTTTCAACATAAACTAAAGCGAGTTGTAGCGAAACAACCACTTTTGATCACTGTGCAGAACCTTGAGAGAGCCAAGAGGGACAAAGGTGCAGAATGCTTCACAAATTGAGATCTGTCACGGAATAGCCAAGGCTAACGTCTCTCAGTCAAGAAAATTATTTATATCATCAAAAAAAGAAATACACGAAAATTTATTTTATCATGTAATTTTCACAGAAAAATCTCGTGCGACACTTAAATGGTTGTAATTTTATGTCTATTAGTTTATTGAGTTTGCTAGTTGGACATGCAATCATAGTCTTGAACATTATATATATATATATATATATATATATATATATATATATATATATATATATATAACTATGAACCTAAAGATCCAGGAAAACCTACCAATCGTCAGGGTACGCTGGTTCATAGTTAAATTTTCTCTACTTAGCGTATTGAGCACTTTGCTTAGTTATTTTTATTCTACTCGTGTCGGAGGTTTTTTTTCTTTGGACTCTGAGCTTGGATTCTAGTCGACTGTTTTCGCCTCAATTACATGATCTTAGTTCTTTCTTTTTTTATCCCTTATTTTTCCTTGGGTATTGGTTTGTTCATTTACAAGCCAAAACACTTCCGAACGAGTATAATTACTTATATTTATAAGATTATATATATATATATATATATACATATATATATATATATATATATATATATATAAAGTTCATGACTATGATTACATGATGCTTCATTCTTTTCCATTTGCATCATCCATTATTAACCCATGATTTATGGTCAAAAATTTTTTGTCTTTACCAAATTATTAGCCATTCTAATAATATTTGTTGAGTGAAAATGTTTAGACTATGGGCAAAGAAATCCTCACCTTTACCTGCAGGCACGGTTCAAATTGTGATTCTATAAGATGAAGGCGATTCTGAAAGTGAGATTAGTGTAAAGTCTGTTGTAGTAAAACAGCTATCAATACTACTATGTTGAATTTCTAAAATTCAGGGACATTTAGCCACAATCAGAGAAGTGTAAATCCAAGGAAAACCAGTATTGGAGATGGCAATTAGATTTCGCGCATCGCGACATGATCACCATCAAGTTCTTGTAAGAAGGTACTTGCTATTCTGCTTAATGTAAATGATGCTTGGGACAAAGGATGGATTTTATTTGTTGTGCCTGTGGCTAAATAAACACAGCAAGAAGTAGGCTGTGTGATAAAATGGGCTGGAATTGTCGACCAAACTATTATTCGAATATTTAAAGTCAATGAAGCCTTAAACTGAACATTGGTAACTATTGCGATTAGATGAACAAGACCCTAAATGTCCCAGCCTCGTAGTTTTAAAGTGACAATGTCCCTTCGAATGCATCTAAGGTAACCCGTGAATATTTTGGGGATGACCACCATCAAGTCCTAATCTTAATCCCATAAAAAAATTATGGTCAATTGTGAAGATGAAATGATATGAATGTGAGAAAGAATATGACAGCAAAGCAGGCCTATGGGAAACAATTAAAACCACTATATCAGAAATTGAACCTGCTGAAGTAAAACAAATTAATAAAATCAATTGATAATGGATTAGGGGCTGTTATTGAGAGGATGAATCATTATTTTAAAATTTAAATACTTCAAAGACTTATAGGTTTGTTCTTTTTTAAGTAGTAATCACTTGTTGATAATTTTATTTCCTTCTTATTGAAGTAAATAGTGATTTTCTGGTTTTACGTAATAACGTCAGACGCTGGTTTTATACTAAATCCAATAAGTCTAATAATAAAGAGTGTTCTAATAACATGGACCGATTTTAAATTTGAATTAATTTTTAGCGTCTAATGAGTTTTTTTCTTTCAGATTTAACAACATATGTCTTTGGCAATTTCAACCATGGAAAGATTAACAATGTGTTAAAGTAATCAAAGCCTATTACGAAAATAGACGTTCAAACAGAAATGCATTTCACGCACTTTGCGATATCTTTGGGTCAACCTAATCGACCAACCGAGAGTGCAATTGGAAACGATGTAACGTTGTTGTGGAGAGGTTCAATTCCTGTGCGCCTTGACGAATAGAGGGGTCTGGATTTTCGGCCATATTCTCGTGCACTGCAGCAATGTTTTCAGATAAACGATGTAAAGGAGCACGCAATGGTGTTTTCACATCTGCCACCGACCCAGTTTGTTTGAATTTACGAACAGTCTTTCCAATTGCACTCTTGAAACTTGAAGTGTTTAGTTTATTTCGGGTGGCTGACATAGATTGCTCGGCCTACTTGAAGAGTGATGGATTTCTACGACATTTATTAAGTAAATTTTGTGATCAGACAAAATCGAAAATTGATCTTTTTTTCCAAAGACGAGCAATTTCAGTACAGTAAAAATAGTAGCTAACCATTAAAAACTAAGGACATTTTCGGAATCGGCACTATCAAATCTAAAAAAAACGTGTTTTGTTTCTTGGCATCAAATATCGTATTGACCAATGTTATCGTCACAGACTGATATTAGTAGATGTCTTCTGGTCACATTTTGAGTTGGTACCAGTTCCAGATGCCTCGATTAGTTTGGTCTGGCTTGGTTTGGCTAGACAGGCTCTTATCCGATACTAGACGCCTGTCAAATGGCTTTTGATACGCAACAGTAAACTTTGTCTTTGTTTTAAACGTTGTCTCATCTTGCGCTTTGATCGTCTTTCGTTATTTGCTTTCTGTTTCATGTTAAATGTTGTCAGATCCTTCCGTTTTACTTTTATTTTTATCATCTGTTGTCTTCGCCCTGAAAAAGTTCCTCCTTTTTTCCCCTTACAAGAATGTTGTATACAAATCTGCTCCTTTTAGTGTCGTTTCTTTTGTCTAAGATATCTTCGACGCGGATGTCTCACCTTAGTATTTTCGCAGTTGATTTTTGAGAATGGCGTCTTTCAATTCGATTGCCTTTCTAATGTATTCAGTAGCTATGTGGTCATAGGGCAATAAGACGAGAATCTATTATGTCGTCCCTTGTTTTTCAATCGATAACAATATTTGGAGGCAAGGCGTCATTGTGCATAAATTAGATATAAAAAAAAGAATATGACACATATGATTATATATAAAATCTATAAAAAACATGCATAGCAGTTTAAAAATAGATTGCCAGGAAACGGCCAAAGAGAGTATGGACGTAAACGGTTTTACAGGGGACAGTTTTTCTTTAAAGTATTTTGTATCACTAGAGAAAGAGAGAGACAAGGGGGAGTGTTAGAGAGTGTGTGAGAATGAGAGAGAGTGAGACAGAGAGTGAGATTGACACAGAGAGTGAGAGAGAGTGAGATTGAGAGACAGAGTGAGAGTGTGAGACAGAGAGAGAGAGGGGATGAGAGCGAAAGAGAGAGAGAGAGTGAGAGAGAAAGAATGAGAGAGATCGAAAAAGCGAGAGAGTGTGTGAAAGAGTGAGAATGAGAGAGAGAGTGAGAGTGAGAGAGAGAGTGAGAGAGAGTGATAATATGAGACAGAGAGAAAGTGATTAAAAGGAGAATGAGAGAGATAGTGAGAGAGGGAGAGAGATCGAGAGAAATAGTGAGAGAACGAGTGAGAGTGAGAGAGAATATAGGAGTGTGAGACAGAGGGAGAGTGGGAGTGGGAGTGAGAGTGATAATATGCGACAGAGAGAGAATGATTAAAAGGAGAATGAGAGAGGTAGTGAGAGAGTGAGAGAAATCGAGTGAAATAGTGAGAGAACGAGTGAGAGTGAGAGAGAATATAGGAGTGTGAGACAGAGAGAGAGAGCGCGAGTGGGAGTGAGAGTGTGAATGTGAGACAGAGAGAGATAGTGAGAGGGAGAGTGAAAGGGTGAGAGAGAGTGAGAGCGAGTGAGAGTGAGAGAGAGTGAGTGTGTAAGAGAGAGAAAGTGAGAGGTGAGAGAAAATGAAAGAAAGAGAAAGAGAGAGAGGGCCTTTATAGCGCAAAATAAAATAAAATTTTCACTTAATTCACTTTAATTAATTTTCAAACTACTAGCATATATAATGCAAAATCAAATTTGCACACAGTTGCAAATGTCAAGAGTAATGCTTAATAGTAAAATTGAATTTAATTAAAAATATCATATTCTTAATTTATAAATTTAAAGCCAAAATTGATTTCAGCAATTAAATTTAATTAAAAAGAAATAGTTTCCTTCTTTGATTCCAATACGAAAACACCAATCGAACGGCCATTAGCGATTTTGATATGCAACACACACAGACAAAAAATCGTTTTTCCTTCTGCTTTGAAGACACCTACCAAAATACGTAACGAAGCCTAAAGACGTCGTCAATAAATCGCTTTTCCAT